CACTCCGATTCTGCTGACATAGCTAGGCTCATCGCTTCGATTAAATCTTCGTCAGCCACAGAAGGATTCTTTAACAGGGGTCTGATCTTTGCACGAATAGTCTCATCCGCTAGGCCAGTTTCGACAGCATGAAGGAATAGTCCTTGAACCAATTCTTCATCATACTTAATTTTACTGTCCGATTCCTGTGATGCAAAGACAATCTTTTGTCGAGTGGTCAAAGCGCGAATAAGGAACGACTGCGGGTCTTCCTTTGGTGATTGGCTAATATTCGCTAAGAGCTGGTATAACTCAGTGGCACTCTTCTCCTGAAAATGGAAACGGAGCATTTTACGCAGTTTTGGCAGTGTTAATCCACTCAGTCCCTCCAAGTAGCTGCGTAGTTGTAATCCAGCTTGAATGGAGCGAATAACTGCAGTAACTACTTCGGGCTCTGTATAGCCTTTCTTTAACCCGGTTTCGATCTGCGAGATTAACGACTGATAGGTCAATTTGTCTTTCTGTCCGGGTTCACCAATCTGACCTTGTATCTTAAACTCCCTTCGAAAAATACTTGCATTAAGACCAGACAGTTCAGTTTCACCACTGGTACTTGCTTTGGCTTCGGGCTTTTCGGTTGGTTTATTCGACAAGTTAGACTTTTTCTGGGCAAGTTCTAATAGTTGCATCTTCTGTTTTAATTCCTCTTGTGCCTTTGACAATTGTTCATATTGTGTCTCGAGTTCTACCAGTTCTTGTTTATTCTTCTTCTTTTTGCTCATACAAAAGCGATTTAATTTTTTCCACTAGGTCTAAAAAACCGTTTTCTTCACACTCGCTGGCTTCGTCTTCAAAAGCAGTGCGAATAGTCTTAATCAGTTCGAATTTCCCTTTGCCTTCTGTTGTCTCAACTGTGAGCCACTTCATTTTTATACCAAAATCTTTTAAATCTGTTATATTTAAACCGAGTATACAAGACTGGAGTTCTATCATAACTTCTTCATCCATTTTGAACCCAATTCAATGAAATATCCAACAAATATTCGACAATAAACACTCTCAAATCTCAACGTTAATTTAAAATATACGCGTACCTTCGCTACATTTCTTCGATCAAAACATACGCCAAAAATCACTGTATTTCCATATTTTCGTCTCGGTGGGACCTCCAAAATGTTACTCGATACTACACACGATGTTTTATGACTTTTATCGTTTTATTATGTATAGAATCGCTTCAAATATGTTTATAATACTAAGATATAATCTAGAATAACACTAGTTCAAAACGCAACGTTTCTCGAACGTTTTCTGAGCACGCGAGGCGCGCCGCTGGTCGCTCGTACCAGTCTCTAAACTGTTCGCATATATTATCGTTCATTACGGTATCAAGAACGTGCTAGTAACTTTTTTGAAAAGCTTGTCCTATAAGGATCTCAAAACTGTAAAAACATTACAAATACAACAAGGAAGTGCGAAGATATGGCGATTCAAAGTTCTATTTTTACTGAAAAATCAGCCATTTTGTTACTAAAAATAGATTATTTTCGAACTGCCATATCTTCGCACTACCTTGTTGTATTTTTAATGTTTTTTACAGTTTTGATATCATTATAGGACAATCTCTTCAAAAAAGTTACTAGCATGTTCTTAGCTCGCCAAAGTCGGCACACGTCATTTTCCCGCCAAAATGTAACAAAATCGAAAAACAAAAAACATACGATTTTTAGGAATGTTAAGTTCTATCCTGTGAGGGAGTTTTCGTGATATTCCAAACTAACGACAGATTATATTTTTTATTATATTTTTTAAATTATATTTTTTTGCAAACTAACATTACCCAGCCTTCATATATGAGACAATTTAGCTTGTTCAGAAACAGTTCTGCAGCACTTTTCAGCTCTGCACATTAGATTCACATATCCTTCAAAACAGCCTAATATGAACTTTTTAATATTGTGGTTGATTTAAAAAATGTCAAAAAATGACCTTGGACCTACCAGTCAAATATGAATCAAATTATACTTTTTGCAAACTAATATAACCAGGCCTCATCTTTAAAGATAAATTAATTTGATCAGAAACAGTTTTGGGCTAATTTTCAACAGTTAAACTTGATGTTAAAGAGTAGACTGTTAAAAGTCCATTTCTGCCAAATAGTACAGTACCAGTACTTGATGGATTTTGGAAATAAAAATGTTCATACAGATTTTAAATCAATATGGATAGTGAAAAATGGAATAAGCGATATGTCCATCTGACTAAAAATGATATCTCGCACAATTTTCCAAGAAAAAATACAAATATTGGGCTGTTCAAGAACATAAACACTGTGAATATTGTAATTTTGGTTGATTTAAAAAATGTTAAAAAACGACATTGGACCTACCACTCAAATTTGAATCAAATTATACTTTTTGCAAACTATCAGACCCAGGGTCTATTGTGAAAAACATTTTAGTTAGATCAGAAGCAGTTTCGGATTATTTATAACTGCTGAAATTGTGTTTTACCAATGAACCAATGGTATAATTTAAGTCACATTTGGCAAGAGCATAAAAAACTAAATTCAAACCAATTTAGCATTTGAATTTTAAAATCGATTAATTTAATTAAAGAAAACATCTCTTAAAAAACAGAGCATATACTGTAGTTCAATATTTCCATTTAGTTTTAAAGCTATAGCCAAACATGCTGCATTTAAGGTTCCAAATAAATCAGTAAATTTTTAAATCGTTTATAAAAATCTGCAATATTAATGTTGGACAAACACGCTAGTTCTGTTAATTTATGATTTCCTGTAATTTGAATTTGTCAGGTTTGTTTTTAAAATTTTGTAGTTTGATCAGAAGCAGGTTATTGGCTAGAAAATTAGTATAAATTCAACCATACCTTCCAAGGTTCTATGACAGTCCAATCAAAACAAATACCACTAAACATTGCATCGCTTGTAATTCTTTGTTTGTTATAAATTCATCTTGTTAAATCCATCTCCTTACTTCTTGAAGATTAAATTGACTAATTATCTATCAAAAATCTCCCCATCCAGTTGTCATTTGCGTTAAAAACTGCATCATTTTCAAACGAAACACTCCTCAACACGAAACGACGACGCCATATTGCCAGCAATTGTTCTATCGCCTTCTCAGCATTCCGGCAATCTGATTGGTTTTGAGCGCCAAATACGCGAGTTTGTAAAAAATCTCCTCTTAAACTACTTCATAAATGATAAAATGCATTTTTTCCCTTTGCAGCATACATAACCTCACCAAATCTGCCATTGAAGAATGGACAACTTGCATGTTAGACTAAATTTTAATCTAAGCATAGAAAAGGGAATCAAACACAACAGCTAAAAAGAACATACTGAAATGAGTAAACTTGCAAAATTTGGCTGCGAAATGTTGTAAAGCTTGGAAAATATAGCCTTGCAAAGTTTGCATATTTTCAGTATATTTGTATTACGAGCGGAAATTGTTACCATTTTCGGCTCAAAAATGGTAACAATTTCCGCACGTAATACAAATATACTGAAAATATGCAAACTTTGCAAGGCTATATTTTCCAAGCTTTACAACATTTCACAACCAAATTTTGCAAGTTTACTAATTTTAATAAGTTCTTAACGGGAATTTACTTTTTTTTGCCTAGATCGGTTAGATAAAAAATTTGTCTAACATGCAAGTTGTCTATTGAATGCTGAAAAGCAAATTGAATCAGAATATGAATCAGAGTAGGTAAAAAATATAGAAAATTATCAAAAAAACCCAAACGTAGGCCTTTGTGGGCTACGAATGGGAAAAATACTAAAACGTCCATTAGATTTTTATTTTAGGAGGAAAATGCAATTTTGTGTTTACATGCTCACTGATCACGATTTGCGACCATTTCAACACATATCAGAAAAAAATTCCTAAAAAATTCTCCTTTTATTCCAAACAAAAGCTATTTACACCTAAGGAAAGAATGATAATTTTGCTGCATTTCTAGTGTTAAACTTTTGAATTTGGACTGACTTTGAGTATTTTACAGAATTTTAAACTTGGACAATTTCTTGCATGCAAAAAATATGCTTCACTTCAAAGTCAAAATTTGCACTTTGGCATATGGATTCGGGTGAAATGACTAAAATATAATGCTTCAACTTCAGAAAACAGCAAAAAAAATTTGGGGCTACTGAAAAGATGCGATTTGAGAGCTCTCGTAAAATCCACTTGAAGGGTAAAAAAGGTTGTCGTGAAATGGCCAACAAACTCACATGTTGACAGTATAAAAATCAACCACATGTTGGAATCGTCACAAAATGCTCCTCATTTTAGATATATGAATCCTTATGAACTAAGTCTAATGAACTCAACCTAGTCAACAAGATGGTGTCATATAAACAAGCCTCCAAGCACAGTGCGCATAATTTAAACAATTCTACATTTAATACACCTACAAAAGCAGCCAACCCAAAAATATCAAAACTGAACAAGACACAGGTAAAGATGGCAGAAGAGGAAAAGGAGAAAGGAATGAAAATAGATGAAATTCATGGCATGTTTAATATCGTGATGACTAAATTAGAAAAGCTAGACATGATCGAAGAAAGAATAAAATCAGTGGAAGAAGATATGAAAGGCGTGAAACACTCTACCGAGTTTGCGCACACAGAAATAAAGGAAATAAAAGAGGAACAAAAAGGAATGAGAGCGAACAAGAAAACAGATAGAGAAAATCGAGGCAGAAAACGCTGCATTATGCAGTAGCATCGTTGACCTTAAAGCAAGGTCAATGAGAGATAACCTCATATTTTTCAATATTCCTGAGTGTGAGAGGGAAAACACAACTGCACTGTACTGACACTATTGGAAGAGAAGTTTGAGATGAAGGATGCAACGACCAAAGTCAAAATTGATCGATCGCACCGTTTGGGAAAGAAAAGGGAAACAAATGCGAAGCTGAGACCAATTGTGGTCAAATTCAACTTCTATCAAGATAAAGAATATGTCACACATAACGCAAAAAAATTAAAAGGCGCAAAAATTGGAGTTTCGGAACAATTCCCTGAAGAGATAGAGAGAGTGAGAAAAGAATTGTACCCTGAACTTAGAAAAGCCAAAGAGGAAGGTAAAAGAGCGAAGATTGTGAGAGACAAATTAGACATTTACAAAATCAACGATTACTTATGTTTCGATATAACCATATGAAAAACCTTCCAGAGGCATTCACTAATTATTTTGTGAATAATAGTCAAATTCACCAATATAATACAAGAAATAATACACAACCACACAAGTCCTATAAAAGAACAAATTACATAAAGCACACTCTTTCTTATAAAGGTGTTGATATGTGGAATGCATGAACTTGACTCTAATTTGAAAAATATCACTTCTTATATCATATTTAAAAATGCGATAAAAGAACACTTTTTAGAGGTCACAAACAATTAGACCATTATAATATTATATATGTACTTTGTAAATAGATTTTCATTTCTTTCCTTTCTTTCCTTTCTTTTATTACTTAAATTTGGTTGACTGTATTTTATAAACTTTTACTTTCATATATAGTTATAACTATAGGGGTTTTAAATAAAAACCTGTTAAGGTTTGTGGCAGGCCCCTAGCCATATTATTAATTAAGTATTAAAATTGTAAATGTTATGATATATGGGCAAAACTAATTTTTAAAAAAAAAGTAATAGAATAGTAAACGTTTCACAAACTCTTGAGAGGAAAAAACATCCCTTACTAGCATGATTGTTTCAGTATTTATTTGCCACATTACAACTTGTCGACTTGGATATTGAATCAGCTATCACATTATAAACAGTTCTCTCTAATTAACAATTAGACAACAAGGCCGAGTTGTCTATGAGCGAATAGTCAACGAGGCGAAGCCGAGTTGACTATTTGCTCATAGACAACGAGGCCGAGTTGTCTAATTGTTTTAGTATAAACTTTAACATCAATTTACACCTAGGCTGCAGACACAATACAAAAATACACAAAAAACCATTATAAAACCATTAAATGTAAACAAATATTTTAGTTTTTGTTCGCGTAAAATGTTTTACAAAATTCAGTTTTACTGATTTTAAAATTTCATTGAGTGTATGTTATTTTGTCTATTTTCTTGCCCTTAAAAATTGCCATTCCATATTTTTGTTGCTTTTTTCGGGGGTTTTTAGTACAGAATTGTTCAACAAGTCGTCCAAAAATCAGCAGACACTTCGGCAAAAGTGCAAAACGCGAATTTTCCACCATTTTGAATTTTCTATTAGTAGGCTATCACTAATAGCCTACTAGTAGCGTAGCCAATCAGAAGGCACAATATGTGATAGCCTACTAGTAGGTTTATACTAAAATTGCAATAGTCACAATTTACCTTTAGTACTTGTACTTTACTAGACCAGATACTGGAGACAAATCACTGTATTAAGCTGTTTTACATGCATATTTCCCACTAACTTTGGTCAACAGTATAAATGTCGCTTTCTAAAAAGAACAGGTGAAGGATATTGTGTTATACACAGAAACCCAGTCTTCGGATCGAACTTGAACTCAGAGATCCCAAGGATAGTGCAATGTTTCAAGGCAGTTAAGCCTAAAGTAGCCTGTGTCGCTGGCCCGTTGGGTCAATAAAACCTAAATAAACGCTTGTTAAATTGAGCAATACAACAAAATTGGGGAAAACCCTTTGTGAAAAAAATTGTTTTCCCTGTAGTGTTTAAAGCGGAAGTAGTTTGGATGGAAGTGTATATAAGGCGTGGTGTTATGGAATGGCATGGCGGATTGAGAATGATTGTTTTGGAGAACTTGGTCGAATGTAACTGTGAATTAAATGTATATATTAAAAAGAATTAAATTTAAGGACATTGGCGACAAGGATTTCATAAAACTGTACAAAGGAAAGTGAACAAGTGCTATGGCTTTTGCGGGGCTTAATTTCTCTGGAATTCAACCTTTTAATCCGCACAGTGATCAGAGTTCATTGGCGGTTCAATAGAAAGTTTGGGTTCAGAGATTCAACTGATGCATGGTTGGGTTTGATATTAAAGCGAAAGCATGAAAACGTGCCTTGTTGTATTTGGCTGGCCCTGAAGCGGAGACTATTTCCGACGATTACAACAACGCTGTGGAAAAGCTTACTGAGTATTTCGCACCAAAACAGAATGTGTTATACAAGTGCGCCATAGATTTTGCCAAGCAAAACGTGTAGACGAATCTATTGATCAGTTTCATACCCGATTGAGACATCTTGGGGCTACTTGTGATTTTGGTGATTTGGATAACGAAATTCGTGTGCAGATTGTGGAGCACTGCCGATCATCTTGTTTACGAAGAAAAGCCCTTCGCGACAACACAAAACTTAGTGATTTAATTGGAAGTAAACCAACCGGAATTAAACAGCAGTCTGTCAGAACAAAGCAGTTCAAGCACAGCGAATGACATTAATCAGAGCAGAAACATAGAACTTTTTTATGACAGCGTTATCCAAAATCGTTCGAAGGAATAGGCAAACTGAAAGGCCATGAGAAGAAGATACACATAAACAAGGACATTCCACCGGTAGCTGAAACATACAGGAGAGTACCTTTTCACTTGCAAAAGCAATTTAATGAATGGATTGAAGAATAAATTGAAAAACACATAATTGAGCCTGTTGTAGACAAATGTACAGAGTGGGTTAGTGGACTTGTTGTCACACCCAAGCCAAGAAATCCAAAGGAAGTTCGGGTATGTGGATATTATAGACAAGCCAATAAAGCAGTCAAGAGAGAAAGGCATCCCATTCCAACTGTTGAAGAGCTTATGGAAAACATGGTGACACCTTACTAACATTATTGCCTAAGTCAACATTTTGTTATTTTGAGAAAACACAAGAAATAATTATAATTTTTTTTAAAAGCTGTATTCTTTAATGATTTTTTGTACAACTCTTATCAAAATTAAGACAAATAAAACACCTAACTTAGCAAGTGCTAAATTTTGTTACAAACAGGTCAAAAATGACATAGGCAGATATATTGTTTAACAAGTGTGAGATAGGCAGTTTTTAGTATCTTCACGAAGGTAACATGAAATGTTAAATGCTCTGAAGCACAAGAATTCTTTTCCTTATTCACTATCGTGAGGAAGCGCGTCATAAAATCCATGTGCCCACTGTGGTAATACAGGTTTCATTGACTGGAGGTCGTTAAACTTTCTCGACTTGATTGGCAGTTGAGATTCAAAATGGCAAACCCACTCGAATGGTTTCGTTGGGTTGTTCATTCTTTGTGGCAAAACCTTCCAACTCGACTCATCTGAAAAACTCAACTTAAAGCTCACTTTCCCACTCTGTTTATATTCAAGAGCTCTCAGCTGAAATACTGTTGGGTCACCTGCCTTCTTACCAGGTCGGATGCTTTTAACGTAAGCGCCATTAAGCTTCAATACCTCGTGATGATACACCGGTTTCACAACATAAGGGGCTGGTCTTGTACGAGCAGTTTCCATGATGACAATGTAGTCACGTGGAGTGTAGATATTGCCAATAATTCGTTTTTCAATGACGGCATGCATGCTGTCGACCTCCATCTGGGTGTGTCCAACAACAAGATATTTCTGGGTAATTTTCACTCCGTACTTTTTAGCTAAAGCAATGTAGCTATTGCTAAGAGTTACATTCCGATTTTGGGATCCACATCCGTCGCTCCAGACTATAATCTCCTCAATTTCAGGATGACATTCAAGAACTCCACTGAAATGCTTGTACTGTAAATATGCAAACATTTCACTGTTAACATCGCCTTCAGTTGCATCCCATACGTAGCAATAA